ACAGACAAATCGAGCACCTAATTCCAATTCTTTGAAGAATGATATGATCGAATGGTTGACAAAATATAACATACCTTTTAATCCAACAAGTTTGAAACCAGAGTTATATGAACTGATTAAATCTCATAAGGACCGACATGCAACATATGCATTTGATGAGTTGTGTCGAGAATACGGCCACACCGCTTTACGGTTACCCCCATATCACCCCGACTTGAACCCTATCGAATTGGCTTGGGCAACTGTTAAGAATAATGTCATTCAAAGAAATGTTACCCTTAAATTAGAAGACATAAAACAATTAGCAGAAGAAGAATTTAACAAAATCGGTAAGGAGGAATGGAAAAAGAGATGCGATTATGTTATAAAGGTAGAAGATAAATATTTTGAAAGAGAAATACAAACTGATTTATGTTCGGAAATTAATCCTGTCATCATTAATCCTAATGAGGATTCCAGTGACGACAGTGACGAGTCTTCTTCCAACGAAGAATCTGACGAAGACATAATGAACATTATTTATTGGTGATTTACTGTTTACGTTGTTTGTATTTACTTATAGACTTATATAAGCACATCCCCAACTAGCCATTCATAAAAGTGTATTTGTTGTGAAGTTCTCATCATCATCTATTGTATAGTCCAGGAGACAGTGACGATTTTCGGTATTTATTTTCCCAGTCAGCAAGCACGAATAGAGAATTGTAGGATTAGCAATTCTAAGCAAAATTCATATATATTTAGAGGGGGGATCCGATGGGCTGATGCCGAAAATGCGTCAAAACATACGAGAACACGGCCCTTTTTTTCCATTGATAAAAATAGTTTTAGTAGTAAGAGATGTACCTACTGAAGTTAAGTAAAAAAATAGTCTGATTAATCTATATGGATAATATATTTGGCAAGTGCATAAAATACACTTTCAAACGAGTTATGTACACAATTATTTCTACGACCACAATTATTTAAAGAATGTTCCAGGTGTTTTGTATATTAAAGTGTACGCATAGGACACATAAATAAAATCTTATATCACAATGTTTCACCTAACCAGTTGGTTTATTTATAGAAATTAAACATAATAATTGAAGATATTACAGAAGAAAATAGGGAAATAAATTACATTTCCTTTTACACTTTTATATAATAATTGTTTTATTTAGAATTCACGAATCACTTATTACTCTACATTAATTATAATTATTGTTAGTTTCGTTATGTCAAATCATTTATACTAGAGGTGTGAGGAAAATACAGTGAACTGTGGAACGCCAATATCGTTGCTAAATTTTCATGGAAACCCTGTACTTTTGACATTTGCGATACTCCGACGCATATGCATTATTGATGTAATCTCATGATTTTACAGTAATAGTTTTTGCAATTTTAGTGTGATTTTTAGGTTATTATGGTTATTCATTTTATTTGGTTCTAATCTTTTGCGCTTTTAGAGTATTTGTCTTTTATATAGTTTTTAATTTGAATTTTAATATTGTGGTCTATTTATATTTGATTGCTGCTTTTCGACTAGTGCTTTATACTTTTTGTGTTAAAATAAGCTTTATAACCATTAAGTACATGTTTCTAGTTGATATCTACCTAATCGTCATCGGGTGCTTGCAACAATGGGAAAAAGTGTATGGTTTTTTTGGTGTAAAGTTAGACGCCTTCATTTTTCAGGTAAGTTATTTGTAGTTATTTTTTACTTAAAAGGATAGCAATACGTCCTGGTTTGGGGTGTGACTTTTGGGTTTTAGCTATCTGAGCCAAATTGTCGGCTAAGTGTCCTCTTTTAGGGCACCCAGAACCGAAAACTATATAGGTATATAATATGTTTTTTTTTTTAATTATTTTTTAATATGTATGCAGCTTGGATGAGGGCTTTAGGAAGAGATCCTAAGACTGAACACTGACTGCTATAAATGCCGTTTTTAGAGCACATTTAATAGTAAGTGATTTCATTCTAGCAGCAATGAGGAAACGTTTAAAAAACATGATGTACCAGCTATTACTTTAAGACCTCGTCTCTTTAAGTTATTATTACTTCATTCTAATGCATATATTAATATGGTTTTTAACTTATGTCCTTATGATTAAAAGATGTATGTATTTTAGTTATGTTATAATAGAAATATATGATACTTTGTATTGACTGACCTACTGGCCACTGGTTATTCCACTTTTACTCCCTTTTTTCATAAATTATCAAATTATTTAAAAACAAATACATACCTAGCTATTTTCTGTAAATTACATTAAAATTTTAGTATTAATACTTTACTAATAAAACTTCAGTTGATTTATCTTATATATATATATATACACAACGGAAGAGTTAATTGGATTTTCTCCTTGTTGAGTTTCAAAAATAGTAATTTAACATGATTTAAAAACAAATACATGAAATGGGCAAAATAGGCCTACAAAGGCACTTTGTAAACAATCTCACTTGTATCGATGTGACGTAATGCGCGAATTCAATCTGGCTTACTTTTGTTAATAGATTGGCGTTCCATTTTAAATATACAATTCACCGGGAATAGATTATTTAAATATACACGGACCGGGAAAACAAGTACGAAAAAATTCACTAGCTCCTGGACTAGTACTGTATCGAAGGAATTTTTATGAATGAAACAATATACGACCCTCCACAATTGCGGTCTACTCAACTTACGCTGTTGTCAGACATTTTTTTTTTTTTGACAATTTAAAGACCTAACAGTAATTCAAGCAAACGCAATAACATTACTACAGTTAAAAACATCGCAAACTTGGCACCAATATTTTAATTTTATCCAAATATTGCATTTCTGTCGAGGATCATCCGCGTTGACTTCAGAAATTGTGTAATCTGTATTGGTTATATATATCTATAGTTAAAAGCACGTAAACTTGGCATCAATGTTCAATCCGATTATTGAGTTTCTACCGCGGACACCACCGTTCATTCTTCAAAAATTTTGTAAATAATCCTATCTGTCTTGGTTATATATCTATGTATATAAGTGGTAAGTATTTAATACCATTTACTTTTAATTTTTTGATAGCTTCGGCCTTTACTTGATGAAAATCCATATTATTAAAATGAGAAAAACCAAACATGGTAGATTTTCACACTTTTATTTAAAGAAATAAAAATTAAAAATTAAACGACAATTGTTTCTAAGTACAACTTCTTCAAATGTGACTCATTTACATTTCTAATATATATATATATATACAAAATAAACTAATTAGTTAAAGTAGGTACTTAAGAGAAATATATTAATAAAATTCCAATAAGATAATATTACCGGGATTATCTCACAGAAAACTAAGAATAGGTAAAGAGATTTAATTAGGCTCAGTTATTAATATCTAATTGATCACTTAAGAGGATATTTGAATTTTTAAATCTATTTATTTCAAGTGTTTCTAAATGGTTTAATTTAATGCCTTTATTCTCAAAATGTGAAACAATTTTTGCATAAACGATTGATTTTCAGATAAAAATATGTTTTATAGAATTATTTTTGTTTTTAGTATAACTATTGTAATGTTTTAAATAGCCTTTTTTTAAGTACGGTCCGTTTGACCAATATACAATTTTACCACAATTTAATTTATTTGAATAAGGATAATTTCCTGACCGTAACAGAATTTTATATAAACGAACGGAAAGCGGTAGAACAGCCTTAACCTAAAGTCGGCTTAAAAATAATGATTTTTTAATTGACTATAGAATTATGTACTAATAATAACACTAAGCAATATGTATGAACAAGTATCATTCACTATTTTCCATTTATTTTATGTCTTAAAATATACGCGCCCCTGGTTTACAACTTTCTAGGTAAGCTACCAATTCTATTCATCGGTAGGCGTGTTCGTAGCATTATAAATGCGCGTCGTTGGTTCTTCACATTTGGCGATTACTGTACCAGTTTTATATAGAGTGAAAACACTTTGGAAGGTAGTGTAAAGCAATATGACGTTCGGAACTTTGTGAACTTGTGTTGTGGCAAAGTGTTACTTTCAAAACAAAAAATCTCCCGCAATTGAATATTTTTGGCATAAAAGAACTCTATTCCATCATTCAATCCGGAGATATCGTCAATTCTAGAGATTAACACTTTGCACTATTTGATTTTTAGGTCCATATCATAACACCAATTTTAACTAAATTATTAATCAGTAGAATCTAATAAAATCTTACACTTTATTATTAGTGTTAGATTAAGGCATTTTTTTTTTAATTTTATAAACAAAAAAGATATTTTTTCCATTTTTCACTAGATAGTACTGTTAAAAAAAATGAAACCAAACATATTTTGATTGTGTGCAGTATTTTAAAGAAAACTTATCCACTAAATAAAAATTTATATTATTAAAATACAAAAAATATGATAAACAAGTCTTTCTTTAAATCCTCATTTGACACCCTAACAATTGGATTTCAATGAATCAAAAAATACTGGTATCTTTACTTTTAAGGATCACCCTCTAGTATTATTTTGACAAAGTCGTATAAAACCACCCTCTATAAAAATAACTTTTGCATAATATACTTTTATTTTTATTGAAAAAATTATTACTATTAATATAATGTATTGAAATATGTTTTTTTTTTAATTTGTCGCTATTTTCAAATTTATAACGTTCTCTTCCATACATTTTTGATTTTTATTTATTTCAGAATTTAATCTTTATTTTCATTTATTTTATATGCATAACTTAAGAGGCTTCCATGCTTTTTTCTTAATATTTTGTTGGCCTTCTAAAAATCCTAAAATGATGCAAATAAACAATTTTTTACCAACAAAAAATCGACCACAGCATTTAGGTACTAAAGAAACTGTTAAGAGCTTATGTAATATACCAAATAACCCAGTCATAATTTTCACTCATAAATCTTAACTATATTATAACAATTTAAAAAAATCTTATCAGTTCTCAATCTTCTTAACAAATTTAAAATATAAAAGCATCAACAAACACTATTATTTAATTTAAATAATATTTCTTGTCATTAATTTTGTCCTCCTAAACCTAAAAGCTTTCTAAAAGCTCTTCTAAAATCCATATTAAAGATAGTATAGATGATTGGATTAAGAATAGAGTTAATATATCCCAACCATGTGATGAAATTAACAAACCTCCTTGATGGGCAACACACTGGGCAAAAAGGGATAATGACATACATAAGAAAGAACGGAACCCAGCAGACTACGAATACTCCCATTATTATACCCAGGGTTCTAGCAGCTCTTCGTTCTTTAGATAGGGAAATTCTCTGCTTTTCTTCAATAAATTGATACACGAACCCAGGTTTCTTATTGTTGTCTACTAGTACGACTTTAGGACTAGGTTTAGTATTAGAAATAGTAATTGTTGTAGAAGAACTATTTGGTACTTTATTTTCAGCTGTAAGATGTGAGTTCTTTCTTCCAAAAGAAGAATTCTCTCCAAAATCCGTCAAGGAATCTTCATGAACTAATGTTGGCTTTAAAGTCGATTTTTCAGTATCTTTTGATTTATTTTTCAGTAATTTGTCATTTGATTTAGTTTGTTCATCTGGGTGTTCGTTGTGATTAGTTTCGCTACTAACACTTTCTCTGTCTCTATGATCGTCATTCTTGTTAGTTTGGTTTTTGGATATGTTAATTTTAGCAGCCTGCGCTCGTTCTCGTAACCTCCTTTTAGTCGCTATAAAAATCTCTATATAAACTATTGTCATTATTAACAAAGGTATAAAAAATGATCCTGAAGATGAGTAAATAACATAACCTTGTCTCCTGGTTAACACACAAACTTGTTCTTCAGCGAAAATTTCTGGCGATGGCCAGTCATTCCAACCTATCAAGGGTGGTACGCTGATTATTAGGGACAGGATCCAGACGAATGCTATCATCATCAGTACTCTTTTGACTGTCCTTTTTTGAGCATAATTGATGGGATCAGTTATTGCCCAGAAGCGATCCAAGGCTATTGCACAGAGATTCAAGATTGAGGCTGTACAGCAGAGGATGTCGGAAGTCAGCCACATTTTACAAATGTAAATACCTGAAACAAAAAATATAAAATCAATAATATTCAGTTTGAGCCATGAATAATTAAATATTTTTTTACGGTTGATAGAGGGAGTTATGGTAAGTATAAATCCATTATTATTTGTTTTAATCTATAGTGAGAGGGTAATATTTGGATTTTAGATAAAATTTAATTTACTTGACAAAATTTAAATTGGTATCAAAGTTAGCTTAGATAGGGTACACTACAGCTGAATATCATGTACTGACATTTTCAATAATTTATTTGTATCAATTGTTAGTAATTTTGTGGTACAGGGATAATAAATGAAAATGTAAATATAAATAAGAGCGCTTTGACCTGACTATCGTTAGCAGAAACCGGTAGCATTTAGAGAAAATTGTTTTGAGTAAAATACTTTATTAAACAGTAATTGAACGTGAATGGTTTCTGTTAAGTAATTAGTTCTTTCGTTATCTTTTGTGCTGTATATTTTATATATTATTAGACTTTTATATATGTGATCATTCGGTATATTAAAACAAATGATATATATTGAGTAGTGTTTACGTGCAAGTCACGATAATATAAAAGTCATCCAACCACCTTTTTATTTTATATTTTATCTGAATAAATCAGTTAAGAAGATAGCAGTTTGTTTCTGCGGATATATAAATCTAACCAAATCACACAGGTTATGGGCCCAGTAATACGCTAAGGAAAGTATCGTTTGTCGAGTTTATATATACTCTTCAAGAAGCTGATTAAAAAGGTGCGGATGTTACTAGCATCAATAAGTTTGATGGAAGCAATTACCAGCAGTGGACCTTTCAAATGAAATGTGCCATGAAAGCAAATGGAATATATGACGTAGCAGCTGGGACAGCTCCCAAGCCGACGAATGCTGGTGATGATCAGGAAGCCTAGTGCAAGAAGGTTGCTCAAGCAATGTTTACTCTTACTGCAGCAATGAACTATTTTTAAATAACTTTGGTTGAGAATTGTGATTCATCTAAACTCTAAAGAGATCCTTGATAAACTGAATGCAATTTATAAGTAAAAGTCCGAGATGAGCAAAATGCTTGAACACGAACGGTTTCATTAATATAAGATGGATCCAAATGACTCCGTTGCTCATCATATTGCAAAAGTAGAAAATTTGGCTAAGCAAGTAAAAGATGATGGGGAATCAATAAGTAATGCAGCAATAATGACGAAAATCTTAAGTTTGCTCTCATCGAAATACCGAAATGTTCGTCAAGCTTGGCTGTCGTTAGACGAAACCAAACAGACCATTGCAAACCTACTGGACGAAGAATCCAACCTAACCTCTATTGATGAGGCAGTAACTGCTTTGACAGCCATGTCACTTAAAAAAAAAATTAAAAAAATCAAAGTATGTGAAAATGAAAGAAGTTCAAAAACATTTTGCATCAAATGCTACAAATGTCACAATAGAAGTCATATGGCAAGATACTGCGGAACAAAATCAAATTCTGGGGTGGGATTCCGTTTCAGGATTCGACTCGAATTTGATATCAAACTCCATAAAAGCAATTCCGTTTAACGAGTAGTCGATTCGGTAACAAATCGTTAAAGTTGGATAATTCATTAGGTATGACCTGTCAATGAGGTTAAATAATAAGCCTGTGGCTTAAAATTTTAGGGAAGAAAGGAATTTAGTTTTCAGGGCATACCCATGTCTCTGGTAATGCCTTTTCTGGATAACCTATCGTGCAACAGAGGTCTTTTATATTCTTGGAAAATCAATAAAAGGATTAGTTATTATACAAAACGATACAAAATATAAACATTTTTAGGTTCTCTTTATTCAGCTGAAAAAGTTCTCCACGACGATTTTCTGGAAGTTCAAAAAGATCGTTTCTTCTTTGTAACTCATCCTTTCTTTAGTCTAATAATAATAAATAATAATATTTTTATAATTTAACCCATTATGAGTGATCCTTGCAACTCTGAATGCAGAGTTGTTTGTACCCGGTGAGGGATAACTATTAATATTTTCCATGGCTCTCCGAGGCAACTTAAAGATGTCATTTGAATTATAGATGAGGATGCACGGAAAAACCCCACACATAAGCATACAAACTAATAAATAATTACAATTTAATTTTTGTTGTTTGACGTTAAAAATCGTGACATTCTATAACTCGATCTGTTTTGACTTCGGAAAACTTCGGAAATTCGACAAAATAATGAAGCATTCAAACAATTATGACTTTTAATCGTCAAACAACAAAACTTGAATTGTATGTCTTTAGTCTTGACGTGAATTATTTATTAGGTTTTATTCTTATGGGTGGGGTTCTTCCGTAGTATTCTCATTTATAATTTGAATAACATCTGTAAGTTGCCGGGAAGCGCCATGGAAAATAATAATGGTCGTCCCTCCCCGATAACAATTAAATTGTATTGTATTTGGTTTAGCCTGTTTAGCAATAAGATTAATAATTAATTTTTTTATAATGATGCTTGGGGTTTTTTCTGGGTATCCTCATCTATAAATTAGATGACACCATCTGTAAGTTGGAGCGCCATGGCTTTCAGAGTTGCAGGGATCACTCGTAATGGGGTAAATTGTAAAAATATTATTATTTAATATTATTGTGCTTTGTGCTAAAGAAAGAATGACCTAAGGGAAAGAACCGATCCTTTCGAACTCTCTGAAAATCACTGTGGATAGCTTTTTTGGCTAAATAAAGATTACCTTCCTTTATTAGTGTTAATATTTCTTAAACGCTAACAGATAGAAGGTTGGTTAACTTAGAAAAAAATTACGCAGTTTGTGCTTATTAAAATGGTGCCAAAAAACCTTTAATATCTAGACTGAGATTTAAAATATCGGACAAAAAATGAAAATTGTAATTTCTTTAAATTCATTCATTCATTTTTTTGTCAGATATTTTGAATTTCTTTGTAGATATCAAATGTTTTCTGGCACCATTTTAATAAGCACAAAACTGCGAAACTTTTGTCAAATTCAACCATTTTTCTATTTGTTACCGTTTAAGAAATAGCAATACTGTCCCTGGCTCACGAGCTAGTAGGTACCTATCTAATTGGGAGGTTGAACAATGGGCCTAGTGAGGCCTAAGTGCCATGAGTTAACCCACTCTTCACACGTTACAGATACAGATACTGTCCCTATGAAATAGTGTCCCAGACAACACACCAAATCACAGAAATATCCACAGAATATCTTTTGTGGATATCCAATATTTTCACAGAATATCAAAAATATTCCGTGGATCTAATATGGATATCCGTCTATATCCAGAATATAGAAGATTGCTTTTCATAATTCGATCGAATTATGAATCGTATCGAGATCGAGTTACTCGACACAAAACGGAATCCCACCCCTGATAGTCATAGAGGCAAGAATATAACTAGTGCTTTTAATGATGAATTGGAAAATAGTATTTTCAATGCAGACTGCTGGAGGCTTGGATTAACGACGTGCTGTATGTGCCAGATTTAAAGAATTTTTTTTTCCGAAGGTGTAGTAACCAGCAAAGGCATGAAAATCATAAAAAATAACGCAAGAGCAGAAATCTTCAATGAATCGTAATTAATTGCTATAGTTATACGAGATTCAAATATTCTTTACAAAATGATATTTCAAACTGAAGTAGCTGAAGTGAACGTCACCTACAGGAAATCTCTTAGAAAATGACATGAGAGGAATGGGCACATTAATGATAAAACACTTCGTGAAAGGAGCGCCAAAAATCTTGTCGAAGGTGTTGATTTTAGTAATCAAAATAACTTATTCTGTGAACCCTTTGCCTACAGAAAACTGTCGAAATGAATTTGAACTGAGCCTTATTAGAAGGTATTGGCAGCCGCGATCCTATTTATTTTTTATATGATTGATTGTCAGATATGTCAGTTCGTATTATGTATTTTATGTCCTGAATAATACTTTGGAATATATCTTAGTTTTATTGGTTTACCAAAGATCTTTATATAATTTAAAACTTCAGGTTATGGGCCCAGGTTAAACTGTTGCAGGAGTCGTTAAGTTTCAGATATACCCAAATCTGTCTAATTATCAGTTGCCGTTCATAGAGAAATTAAAAGGGCGTGAAAACTACGATAGTTGGAAATTTGCAGTTCAGACCTATCTGGAACATGAGGAACTATGGGACGCAGTATTAGGTACTGAAGTAAATCTAAAAAAGGTGACCAAGGCTCGGTCGAAGATAATTTTGCTATTGGATCCAAAAAACTTTGTCCACGTGCAAACAGCAAAATCAGCCAAAGAAGTGTGGGACAATTTAAGCAACGCTTTTCAAGACACGGGATTAACGCGCCGAGTAGGACTACTCCGTATTCTTATAACCATGAAAAATATGGTTCGGTAGAGAAATACGTGAATACAGTTATTACTACAGCGTATAAATTTTCTGGCATCGGACTCAAAGTTAGTGGTGAGTGGGTAGGTACCATATTGTTAGCAGGTCTACCCGAAAGCTATAAACCTATGATTATGGGGATTGAAAGCATTCCGATCACAGCTGACGATATAAAAATCAAACTTTTGCAGGATATCTCGGTAATTCACACTGAAGATCAAAAGTCGGTTGCCATGTACGGTGCTAGTTGTTCTGGTTCTAACCGAGACAATTCGAATCGTAAAAATAAAAGTGTACATTGCTACAGATGTAATAAATATGGACACTTTGCAAATAATTGTACAAAATCTGATAAAAAGAAAACTAGTAACAGCTCCGATAGTTCTGCTTTGTTTTCTGCATTTGCTGTACAACATAAAAACGAAATTTTATGGTATCTTGACTCAGGTTGTTCGGGGCATATGACAGCAAGTCGAGATCTACTACAATCCGAAAGAAATTCTGCAAAGCTGACTATTAATACAGCCAACAATTAAGAAATTACATCAGAAATTATAGGCGATATCAGTTTATCTCTGTCAGTTGGTAAAAGAGCGTCAGATTTAAAGATTGGAGATGTTTATTTTGTACCCCAATTGAATGTTAATTTACTGTCCG